TATGTATATATACATATATATATATATATATATATATATATATATATATATATATTCAACAGATTTAAATACCACCAGACACACTCCACAATAATTACGGCTGCACAATACTTACGGCTCTCAACGAACGTAGTCTTGTAAATAAATGAATAAAGAAATTGTGTAATAAAATGCCTCTGGCGGGACTCGAACCTGCGACCTCCCGCTGTAAAGGCGAGCGTCATAACCATTAGAATTAAGATAATTTCCTATGCTTTTAATCCATTTTGTAATTCATATTATGTTCTCTGTCTTTTCACATTTATTTATATACCTAGATTCATATATTTTTCTACCACATGTTTCCTCTTTTGATAGCCCATTATTATCAATTATATTTATGCACTCAACTGTTTTTTGGTGCTTTTCATTTCATCAAGCTTTAAATTACATCTTTCTGCCTCTTGTTTTTGGCCAAATCTTTAGTTTTGCGTTAATGCGTGACTAAAAATAATGCATTTCATTCCATTTCTTTACCTTTGCAAATATGATGAGATTAGTAGAAATATCTTTCTTTGTGGAAGATCCTCGCATCGCTTTAGAGCTCATTTTAGTTTGGTAAATCCCGCACACTATAACGACAAACATAATGCTGTTTAAAGCAAGGATCGTTGCCATGGGAATACCTAAGAACATGAAGGTAGCAAATTCATCGGGTATCCAACAAACTGTTTCGTCACCGTAAAAGAATTTGATAGGTGCGTATTCCCAAATATGAAGAGTCATAGCGGCAGCGACAACCAAAACTGGAAGTCCCCAACAACAAAAGAAAGGTATTGTAATAGATTGTTTTCCACTGCGATGCTCTACAGCTGATTTTAAAGAACGGAACGATTTGAACAATACTATTGACATTATAAACATCCACATAAATGCCACCAACCACAGATAGTGCAAAAGTACAGCTAGAGCAACACATCCTAGTTTGGATTCAACTAAAGTTTTTGCCAACAACGTCCCAAGCTGTGCCAAAAACAATGCCGCCGCAATGTTCATTACAATTTTGCCAGAAATATTCCGAAGGTCTTTTTTAATGCAACGTATAATAAATGTCAAAAACAGACCAAGGAGTGAACAAGAGACTCCAACGACGTTCAAAATCTGCAAGGTTTTATCATAAATTATACATATGTATGCGCTCCGTTTTGAGAAAAGAAAGAGCAGACATAAACAGAGTCATTAAAAAATTCTGCAATCTCATCAATTATAAACTGACTACCGTTCGGCTTGTACATCCAAATTGTATTTTCTGTGACTTCAAAATCGTTGATGTTCAGAGCAATGAGTGGACATGTTGGGTCAGGTGAACGATCAAGACAATTTGATATGCTGACTTTAATCGGCTTTGCTGGTTCGCTTTCGATATTAAACGTCATTTCCACTCGATAATCACTTTCTGATATTGTGAAAGTTTTATTTTCGTCTGCCACTGTTACTGATTCATTAATTTTCTCGATATTTACCATATCCACATTTAAATCTAGATCATTACAATTTTCGTAATCATTGTGTGGCGTCATATTGTTTTTTGTATTTATACACACCTGAAGTATTGTGATATTTTCCAACAAATGTCTATTCTCGCTATTGATCTGTTGATAGATTATTTGGGTAATATTTTCCAACACGTCACAATGTGACGTATTTAAATAAATTGTATACATTATTGGAGGTTTACCAGAACTATAAAAATCGAATGAAACATTTTGAAAGTGTATCCATGATGTGAACCTAGTCAAAACATCATTGTTGGTAAAGTTATTAAGAAAGTTGTATCGTAACTGGATTCTGCTATCATGATTACATAAACATAGGAGTTTACTAGAGTATCCAGGATCTATTGGAAATTGTGCAGGTGCATGCATTTGAATATCAGTTTTTTTTTTATGCAGCCATCCTCTGTAAGGCGCTCGTCTTTTAGGCAAATGATTGTGATGCATTCGCCAGATTCTCCAATAAAAGGATTAAAGACTCGACCAGAATCGCAAAATCTACTCCCGAAGTGGTAAATTTCAACCGTGATGATTCGACACTTAAGGCTGAACCTGATGAAAAGTCCAGTAAAATAGTAATGGGCATGACACTGATTGTACGATATGATTTTTCTTCTAATGCACATGTTGCACACTTTTCGCATTTGATTTGTTGTGGGCTTATACCATGGCAACGTGCGCAATGTGTGTTTGCAAACTTCTTCCAAGACGATTGGTCATAAACTGTTGCAATGTATGTCTTGCATTTATATGCTAGTTCAGTATCGGGAAAATCAGATGGGCAATATTTTTTACCGGGTTTAAGAGGACAATATCTCTTACTATAGTGTTTAATTGGTTCATATTCATAATTGAAGGAAAATGGACAATCAATTGAGAGATTGTTTTTAAAACTAATTGGACTTGTGTGAGTCATTATTGGTATATCTTGCGGTATTTTTTTTATGTATTCCTTTGAACGGATATAAGAGGTTACGGCAATTGACAGTAACTTTCCATGCTACAATATCCGACATGGCTACGCCATTGCATAAAGCACAATATAAGTTTAGATAACCTACATTATAAGCGTCACTGACTGGAATATTAGAAGAAAATCGTCTTGATTTGGTTGTTCACAATTTTTGCGAACGTCTTCATCAACTGCTTTTAGACTACATTTGTTAATTAGGTAGTACGAATTATATTTACAGACAGTACGGTTCCATAACGCTATAGATGAGATCAGATATTTTTTATTATCGGTGCAATGTTTCCAGTAATCGTAACAGCAATCTCCATAAAGCTCACAATACGAGTCGCAGTGGCATAATGACTCGAAAAAGGAGGTTCCACATCTACCTTGACAAGTTTCATGTCTAGGACATCTCGTCATCATATCAACAGATTCATTTATTTCACGCTGGTCAATCAAATCTGTAAAGCGAAATCATTGAATTAAGAAGCAATCGCATATACAGTAATGGATAATCAGCTGAGAACAATGAAAAATGTAATATCAAAGTTCCCTGATATTTGTTAAAAGATTTTGGTATAATTTTTTTTTTGTGTTACCAGAACCATACATGAACCGAAAGATCCACTGGTTAATCTCATATAAGATAGTATAATACATGCAACCATACATACACCTGTCTCTTATACACATCTAGATGTGTATAAGAGACAGGCACAACAAATTTAACCGACTGTTTATTGGTTAATCACTTCTCAATTGAAAACATACCTTGTTTTTTTTTATATTTTAAAAAGGCATAGGACCCTCTTTTGGATGAATGGTCTTATTAATGCTATAAACCGAATCGTCGGTATTAAATCAAACTTTTTGAACATAATGAAGAGCCTTTATACAGACGTACGATGCAAAGTAATATTTGGCCATGTGGAAACTCAATATTTTAATATAGATGAAGGTGTAAAACAAGGTTGTACACTATCTCCCATTCTATTTTCAATATTTATTAATGAATTCTATACTATAATTAAAAATAAAAAACTAGCTGTAAACATGTTTAATGTTAAAATAGGCAGTCTGTTTTGGGCAGACGATGTGGTGTTAATTGCAGTTAATGATCGAGTATTGAATTTACTATTATAAATTTTTGGAGAATTTTTATAAAAATGAAAACTCTGTTTTAATTACGAAAAGTCCAAGGTTTTGATTACAGGAAAACTCGACTCGGCAATTATTATATTTCTGAAAGTGAAACTTATAAATATCTCGGAGTACACATTTCTGGATCATTATCCGATACACAACACATAAATGAAGTTATCAAAAAAGGCAATCGTATTTTGGCATATATTAAGTCAATGGGGACAAGGAAACTATTGGAATGTCTACTATCAATTAAGCAAGCTCAGTTTTTTTTTTTTTTTTTTTGCAATGGAAAAACATTGCAAAAAAAATGAAAAGATGCAATACCAAATGCCAAGGATTATACTTAAAGCCCTAAGGAATGTTGCGAAGGAGGTATTATACGGTGAATTGGGATGGCAAACTGTTACCTCAATTCAAAATTATTTTATTGTCCAATACTTTAATAAACTAAAAATTATGGAATATAACAAAGATCTCATTTACTTTTCAAAGCAATTTTTTATGTTCAGAAAAACATAAAATGGCAATGGTTAAAGTTTAATCAAGAACCTGCAACTGACTGGATCAGGCAATTTAGAAAAAAAAAAAGAAACAATGCCGATGATACCACATTATACTATTCTAATGAAAATATTGATGAATTGTATAGAACATTCAACATTGAACTACACAAGATTTGTGCCTGGTTCACTGCTAACAAACATTTAATAAACGCTACTAAATCAAATTACATACTGTTTCATACTCATCGTAAAAATTCTAAACTAAAAGGCATTAACCATAATCTCTTCTTAATAATACCATTTTAGAACGTAAAACAGAAACCCGTTTTCTTGGTGTTGTAATTCATGAAAATTTAAACTGGTCTACTCATCAAAAACATATTTCTAGCAAAATTTCAAAATATATTGGGATTATAAATAAGGTACAAAAGTACTTTCCTCAATTCATACTTCTTAATTTATACAACTCTTTCATTCTTCCACACTTACAATATTGTAATATTATTTGGGCAGCAGATTATCCTTCAAATCTTATGAAATTATTTAAATTACAGAAACGTGTTGTACGAATTATTTGTGTATCCCCTGCTATGTCCCATAGTGAACCCTTAGTTAAGAAACTGAATGTACTAAATATTTTTGATCTTCACAAAATCAAGGTCTTATCCCTTATGTACCAATATAAAAATCACTCATTACCAATTTCGATTTCAAATATCTTTAGCACAGGTAATACAGTTAATGTACATAATTTCGGAAAAACAAGAAGACTAGTCATTCCTTTTACGAGACTTACAAATACTCAATTTTTTGTTAAATTCTATGGTCCTAAATTATGGAATGAAATTACAGATGAAATCAATAGTTGCAATAATTTACTTTTGTTCAGAAAAGCTTTTAAAAAGAATATCTTTCAAATTATGCAGATATCATTTAAATCACATGTTCTATACCGTTCATTCGACAAAATTTTAAATTATATATATATATATATTTATATTACATTCTCTTTTGTTAAGGGATCATTTTGAGACAAGTTTTTAACTTCTAATCTGATTCCTAAATCGTAATTTATAGCTATTAATTGTTTACTTTCACATATTTCGATTTGAATAAATGTTTCTGAATGAATGAATGGATGATAAAGAATGGCTTATTAGAGCTCAAAGTAAATCATCATTGTCAGAATATTAAATGTATAAAGGAAATCCACACTTTGAGCAGTATTTGCTGGACAAATAAAAATTCAAAGTAATTAATTTAAAATTCAAAGCAAAATCCAACTGGTTAGATCCTGAAGGCCGCAATCAATCATTGTCTAATCATAACACAGGCACATGCAAACTATTAACCAAAAAGAAAATATAGAACATTTCATATTTGACTGTACTAGATTACATATTATTAGAGATATTACATATTCATAGGGACAGTTTCATGAAAATGGTTTAAGTGTATATGGACATAGTTTTAAAAATGAATCATAGCTATTTAAACGTCAACTTATGCTTGATGATATGTATATAGAAAATGTAATATTAGGACAATATTTTGATTTCCATTGTGAAGAATATGTAATTAATGCATGAAGAAATAGATTTTTTTTATGCTATCTACATTACCCTCCTAAACAAATTAAACTGTACTTTAGTTTTTCTCACTGTTAGTAGTTAGGTTTGTAGTCATTAAGTTGTTTGTTATTAAGCCGTTATTTATTGTTATCATTATTAATTATTTTAGTGCACACCTAAATTTCTCTTTATCATTTGAATTGTTAAAAAGAGGGGGGAGGGGAGGAAGAGTGGAAGGGAGAACATGAAAAGAAAGGAGAAGGAAAGGAATAAAAAAGAATATTATTAGTCACTTTTGGAAGTTATGGTTGTCTGACATATTCTTCAATTTACAAGGACTTTTTTTAGGTGTGTTCCAAATTTAAGAACAACAAATGAACATGTCTTAGTGCAATGACTGAGTAATTCACTAAAATTTGGACTGCTCCCTTCGGCTAGGCTCCGCCTTGTCGAGTTGGGCAGCCAATCTCTTAGTCATGGAATATTCCTTTCATTGTACTCATCATTAATGTTTACTTTTCTATCATTTTAGATTCGTTTTTTTTTTTTTTTTTTTTTTTTTTTTTTTTTTTTTTTTTTTTT